TCCCTCGCTTCACCTTTCGAAGGCCGTTAACGCGCCTGTACAGAAATTTGCGGTTAGTGCAGAATCGCTTCATTAACTTCTGCTAATGAGTGACCTTGTCTTCGCGAATCAGTTTCAAGCAGAAGTTGCAATGTGTCAGGTATGCAGTCCAGGTTTCGGCATTCGGACAGTCCTGGTGATCTTGCCATGCCAAATCCCTCTGGGATATATCTTTACGTGTTCTGCTCCTCAGAAATGACTTACGCTTGTTTTTGGATTGGAAGGACTTATGTTCCGATGCGTGAGCTACCAGTGTGTTAAACATCTTTGTAAATGTTTCCCAGGCAACATCTGGGGCATTCGGTTAAGAAAGTCCAAGATGTATCCTTACCAAGCTTAGACAACACATTGTAGTATGTGATAGTATGCACCTTATCCTCTTCCTTTTCAGGGTACTCCGCATAGCATATCTAGTCAAAGAGTAGAGTAAAATAATCAGTACGACCCAGTGGTGTGCTTGTAACTATCCCGCCAACCATGAGTTCTTCGTTAGTTAGCAAAAGATCCAGCATCGACGGCTTGTTAGCAGTTCGAAATCTGGTGGAAGAAGTTACGTGGTTGTAAAGAGGGTGGCTAGCAATAAACTCTTGCAAGCAGGCTTTGAATTGCGTACCTTCGGTTGCTGGCGTTTCTGTGTCGTGCACGTTAAAGTCTCCATCGATAAGAATGTGGGTGTAGGACTTGTTCAAAGCAATCTGAAAAACGTGGTTCCGTTTAGAGTCCATTTCCGACGTTGGGTTTGGTGGGCGATAAATCACGGCTAGTAGACATGTGACCTTGTTTCGCAGCCAAAGGCGGCACCAAAGCGAATCGGGAGCTCGGATTTTCGGGTGATCGATAACTGAACATCGGAGGTTTGTATTATAGTAAAGAATCACACCGCCACCACTTCCGGTTCTATCGGTCCGAAGCAGCGGCATACCGGGTAAATTGATCTCAGAATTGTTTATCTCAGGGTTTAACTATGTCTCTGTAATCATGACGAGGTCCCGCGGTTGTGAGGCATGGAGTTCTCTAAGTTCGACCAACTTGCTTAGAAGGCCTTGGGCGTTTGTTTACATGCAAGATAGGGCTTTTGTTGTTAGGAGTTCGTTGATAGATGTCTAGTTTGTGTTCGTTTTTATACCGGCTGTTAGGTAGCCGGCCATTAATCGTATTTTTGACTTATGTATTTCAGTCGTGTTGCATGGCATTACTGAGCCTTCCTGAACAGACGTTTCGCTCGTACTGCGCTCTGTCCTCCTATGTGCCCTGGGCGCTGTTGTGTCGGTCTCTCCGAAAGACTGTGCAAATAAAGAATCTGTTACGTGTGCATGTTCCATTGAATTGCTTCAGACTTTTGGTCGTTCGCCTGCTGCGTTTAGACGGATTTCTGTTGGCAACCTAGCTCGAAACTTTACCCAGATATTCAACAGAGCTTGCGTCATTCTCTCGGAGTGTAGTATTATTTCATTAGCCTTGGACCGCAGTCCTTGTAGTTAGGTGATGACGGAACTCTTGTCAGGGATTTGGCAATAACATTGTCAACAGAGCGTGCTTCGCGGATGTGGCACCACTGCTGTCGGTCATGTGTTTGTGCATCGTGATCAGAAGAATGTAGAAGATCAGGAACACCATGAACGAACATTGTTTTCTTGATATTCCCATTAGCAACACCGCGTTGGTAAGCTGCCTGTTTCGGCCGATCTTTCTAAGGTAGATCACGTAATATGTGCACTGCGCTCGGTGAGTTGCGAAGACGAACTGCTGAGATCAGGACAGCCTCTGTCTCATCTGCTGAGTTTAATGTTACTCGAAGAATTTGAGGTTCATCAGAGTGCACTGAGGTCGGGTGACGCGCTACGCGTTGCAGCATTGCAGGCTCAACCCAAATGTTAATTGCCTTGCAGATGAGACTCCACTGGTTGCGATCGTCTTGCGACTTGCCTTTTATTGTGCCAGATTTGGATTCGGGTACATTGGTGCACCCAAGAGTTAACGCAGGGTGGGTTTGTCTAGCGAGTATTGGCTTTATACTTTTTGCCGGTAATTCGGGTTGTTTAGAGAACACCACTGGAGTTGATGGTGAAAGCTGCTTTGCGTCACGCGTGCTCGGTACTGAAGATGGACCTATGTGTGTCCCTCCCGGTGTGTTTGTCGACGCGATCGATGCGGACGTTATCTGCTTGTTATCTGCACCGGATTTCCTTCGGCTCTTAGCTGTCGGTGTCATGGCTGAATCTCCAAGTGAAGCGCCTATGGTTGGAGACGTGGAAGCAGGCATATTTGAGGCTTGCCCACTTATGGGAGTGAGGGGACCCAGTGGACTTAGAGTCACAGACGCTGCAGTGCGGTTGGAGCGTCTAGCTTTTTTCTTCGGTTTAGACTCAGTGCTTACTTTGGTAGGGTGAGATATTATCGTGGCCATATTTACCTCCGAGAGAGCGATCTTAGTATTTAAAATGTCGCGATTATCTCCGTCATCCTATTGCATTTTTTCATGAGCAAATATAAACAGTTGACAACTGGGATGACTTGACATGTTGGGTAAAACCAACTTGTGTCAGAAACTTGGTTTATCTGTCTCACTTCTTGGACTGATTTGCCTGCACATTGCGGACAGTACGGTCTAATGCAGCTGGAACAGGTTACACTGATCTTAAGGACTTTATTGCAATTGTCTGCGCAACATAGGCGACGTTGAACCATTGGAATGCTAGTCATTCTCTTATGGTTTACAGCAAAGCCTATCTAAGCGCTAAACTTGATAAGTGTACCTTGCGCTAGGGGTGACGCACGAACAGGTCAGAAACGCACACGAATTAAGAGTTTTTCAACCGCACCAAGGTCAGGCGGAGAGGCAGATGGAGTTCGTAACGCGCAGAATGTCGGATTCAGCGATCAGTCAACTCGCAGTAGAACATACACACCCACACAAAGAGACAGTGTGTGTTAATCGGCCTCCCTTAAGCGACGATGCAGGTGGAGCGCTGATAAGCGTCCCTAAAACGGCTCAGTTGATGAACGGAGCAAAAGGCTGTAACTTTGTTATGCTGCAACTTGCTGGGATAGTTGCCGCGTAGTTTTGGAGTCCTCAACTTCTGTCGAACGCGACCACAATCTTTTCCGAAACACCGGTTTGATGTAGTTACACAAGTGAAATACGGCAAAGAATATGCCAAAACCTGGGAACTGGAGCTAGAGTGTAATCCACACAGGTTGATCCAAGAGTTGGGAAGCACTGAGTAGAGCTCGTCGAACTGGTTCGAACGAGCGCACGCAAAATATTGTGTTGGGAGAATTGGAGTGGCACCAGTGGGCAAACCGAGAGACGAGTTAAAGTGCGGCCGCACGGTAGGCTGGCATTTGAGGTCTGTGACCGAGGTATGCTGTTTTTAACTTGTCGGCACGCGATCTTGTTTAAGGTGAAGGGCACTTGCAGATTAGCAACAAAATGCGTCCCCTCTGTTGCCAATGAAATGTACTTCTTCGACTGGTTCTGCGAAATCCACATGTATCCGCGACCAGGGGATTCTGGGTTTGGCCAGGGTAGTACTGTAGCACGTACAGGTAACTTGGAGGCACTAACGCATCTAGATCACGATGGGCCAATGTCTTTAATTTGGCTATCCTACATGGGCCAAATAACGTAGCTGCGCACTAGCGCCTTCATGCGAGCGATTCTTGGATGGCTCTTGTGCAGTTGCCGTAACGCGCGTGATCTGAGTATTTCTGGAATGACAATGCGATCTGCAAAAACAGGCAGTCCTTGGAGCTCCGGTCTACGCTCGCGATTACCGAGCAGGTCATCCACGCTGGATCAAAGCAGCAGTGACGGTCAAGCGAGGTGACATGCTACATGATGTCTCCGTGGACGATGACACCTAGGTTCGTCATCGCAATCAACTTCGTCCGCGCCACGGAGAAACCTCCACGCCAGCCAGCCTTCCCTTGCGCCAGCCGCTGCACATCTTGCTGGATACCTTTGAATTGGCTACACAACGAGACAGCACGGTCGAAGCCGCTCAATCGCCGCCGCGTCTAGAGAATCCGCCTTGTCGACGAATAGGAAGAGTCCGGAGGTCGCCGAAATCCCTCCAGTCAATCCTCTTCAGAAGCGGTACGCTTTCTCTTCAAAGGGAGGTGTTGCGGGCCCGTCAAATATTCTCGTAAAAAGGCGCCAGAAACCCCGGCAGAATGGCTGTGGAAAGCGAGGTCCAATTCCTCCCCAAAACGCAGAGGCGTTCAGCCACTCCGAGACGCGGCCCAACTGCGTACCTGTTGACAACGGCCTTTTACAAACTACCACCTCGTCGTGGTATCAATTTTCCCTAACTTAACAACCCATAGCATTGGATGCGATTTACCCTTTGTTGGTAGTAAAAGAGCCGTCAGAGGACCACTGGCCTTTTCCTTCCTCTTCGCCTCAGTTGGGAGTCGGTCGGCTCAAGTGATTTTGTGTGCGTCGTTAGCCTGCCAGCGTTCGCGTCTAAGTCACTAGTGAGCGACTACCACAACCCCTCTCGTGTGCGTCCGTTCCGAGGGCTCAGCGTCTACCAGAATAGGCGCGGCTGGGATGGTTCTCACGCTCGCTCAATTTCCGTCTCACCAGCGCGTACCCCGGGTTAAGATAACGCCATCAGATCAGTGCAAACCCGTGCGATTTGCCAGCTTTCCATGGCGATACCGTAGGCGTGCCCTAACCGTGCCAGTGACAATCTTATCAGGCATCTATGCAGTCATATCAAGAGACGCCCCCTCAATAATAACAGACAGATGCTTGGTCAGTGATCTGAATTCTGTCACCTAATGCGCAAGTACTAAGATGTCTTATATTCTATGTCTTATATATGTCCTATATGTTTTATGTCTTGTATGTCTTACATTCTATATTTCCTTAAGTTCTGATTAATTTATTTGCATGGAAAAACTTCAGCTTCCCTTATAACAAATGTAATGTGCAACCATTTTTGCAAACTCACTTTCGGATTAACATACTGACCATTGCGTTTTGATTATTTTCAATGGCCGTATAAATGGGTGTGCGTCCGTCTGAGTCCATTGCGTTTACATCGATACCGAATTCGATCAACAGCGATGCCAGTCTCACCACTCCAGAGCGCGCAGCCAAATGCAAAGCGGTTTCGCCCTTCGAATTGCGAAATGTTGTTGTGGCTCCTTTTGAGAGTAAGGGCAAAAGGAAATAGAAACAAGGCGAATGTTACGACTGGCTCACCGTTGGTGATCTGCGACTTTCCCGTGTTGCCTGCTTTGGGGGCATGGTCACGCGGTTCACGCTGCTCTGGAGTAACTGTGAAACATACTTTCTATACGTCGTCTGGCGTACCGGCTTAGTATGTCAGTATACATGTTAGGCACATCATATGATATTTCGAAAGGCGGTGTTTAGTGACCAGGTCTATGGATCACCCTAGGGTGGACTTGCCGCGATACTGAGTGGGGTTTGGTGCAGGGAAACTTAAATTACCATGTGGCTGTTTCACACACCGTTGGATTGGGTCGAATAATAGTTTGTTAGAAAGCCGCTAGTGTGCTGTATCGCGTAAGACGAAAACTTGGGTTTGAGGATTGGAATACCTCAACTTTGTGGGTGTTTGTATCGAGTAGGCACTGCTCGGAAATTATACTTCCAGGTAAGTGTGAGATGCGGTAGTAGTATTCCTGAGAGGATGATTTCAAAATATGGCATGGTGGTATGTGGTATATTTCTTGACTATGCTATATAGAGTAGAACTAAGTGGTTTGGTTATTTGGCAAAACAGGAGGTCAAAGTACAGGTATTTTTCATGTTTCACAAAGTTGTACTCAACTAGGTTTTCGGGGTGTTCGAGCAAATAGATTTATCATAAAAGAAGTTGAAAGTAGAATGTATGGTTCTTACAAGAAGTCAAAATAAATCAACATGGCTATCCATGGAACCGTCTCCTAGGGACCTGTTTCTCTGCGGGTAGCTCCTCCTAAGTCCCATCTGGCCTAGTGTCGTTATAGCACAAGAGCAATTAGGCCAACAACTTATTCGTTCATCTTTAGGGTGGTTATTATGTGTAGAGAGAAATGGGATCTACTTTTGAATTTTTGTTGTAAGCGAATCAGCCCATTTTAACAACAGACGCTTTCAATTCCGGAACGCTTGTTATACGCCAGCAGGTCTGGGGCAATTCTACACTCGTAGAAGTGTTGATTACCTCTACTTTTGTACTTCGTCAACTCTGGAGATCTGTTCAGTCGTGGCCAACAAGTGAAAATGGAAAATCCCCAAATAGAGCAAAATAAAAATAGACATATGTAGGCGGAAAAAGTACCATGAAAACCGCAGCCTGGATGTCAAGATCATAGTCAGATAACCACACCATCTGCGCCTTCTGCCGAGGTCACGGATAACCCGTTATTTGTCTACCCCATGCGATTAACTACGCAAAGTTCCATGTTTTAATTGCAACTCACACCATGGCATTGAGACTTGTTCTCTATAACCTTATCTGACACCCGCTCCTACGGGCTATTGTGCTACTCATTGTTTTCCTAGCCACGTCTAGGTGGTTTCATTCGAACCCTGCTGTTGGATACGGTCGCACCCACACTGTGTAATATGCTCAGGTGTCCCACCACTCGGCATCGTTTTGCGCTCATCCCGAACCCGCTGTGACGATTGTGCACTCCCACCCCGTGCTACTTACCCAAAGGACACCCAGACCCTTGTTGTGTTTTGCTCCCATGTCCGCACAGAGACGCGTGAACTTAATTCCAGTTAAACGAAAGGAAATCTTGTATCTTCCTGTGCGCCGTACAGCGGACCTATGGGATAAGCTTCCGGACACCTTAAAAACCCTTGTATTGGAATCGGTTCTGTGTGATCTTGCTGAAAGGTAGCAAGTGTGGTCATACTATTTCCTTGTGTAACTGTTCAAATACGCGGTTGTTTCAGGACGTAAATAACTGCTGAGGTATGTAAATATGTAGTTTAGTTCTATTTTGCTCAATAGTACCGTAGTTAAGATCTCGGCTTCCCTTATGTATGGACCCGGGAGTTTTGACGAGTCACTCGAGCACCAGGCGATTTTGAGACTTGCAAAATATGAGTAGCATTTGGCGGAGAGTACCTGTTTCCATCTGTTCCTTGTTGGCGGCATCCTGTTTCCGATTTGTCTGTCTCTGTGGCCAGCCACAAGACGCCTGCACCTATAGAGGGACCATGGTTGGCTTGTGCTGCACCGCCCATAGTTCCAACCACACTCCCCATATCCAGTGTAAACCCAAAGGAATAAGACCGGGAGGCATGTGGATGGGAGTCACGTTTCATCAACGGAGCCGGCCCACACTCCTTCACAGGCAAAGAGAATCACGCTGTAATTGGGAATCAAGCGCACACAAGGTGGTGGCTGGACCGTAGTCTGCTCCACACTGAGTGCATGGAACCACTCTTCGAGCCTAGCACGACCACAAGGACCGTGCACCCCGCCCCCTCCAGCATCGACCAACTGTCTCCTGGAGCCAGTATGGAAGAGGTAGTGGGTAATAGACAGGTAGGCACCTTGTCAACATGCACATCAAGCGCAGCCACAGCGGGGACTTCAAACAACAGCCAATCACTTGAAATAACATTCTCAACTAAAATAAGTCTGTTAAAGTATACGATTATGCCAACATAACTCTTCGCTACATTAGCATATGAAGTAAGTTGCTTCTCAACGAAGAAGCGATAAGCAAAATATGTCCACAAGTTACTTAAGAATGATTCAGACGCGATAAAGTTAACGAACAGTAACGCAATTAGCTTAGGCAACGTGTGAAAATTAATAGTAGAGTATTTAAGTAGGCTGAATAAAGCAACTAAAAATGATTGAAATTTATCCAGCTCCAAAAACTAGTTTAACTTGGTTTATTCTAAGTTCGGTTTAGGTTTGTCATGAGTGTAACCTTGGTCATATAACAGGTCAATGAATAACTCTCTGAAGGATTTTGAGCTAATTCAACTACTCCAGTCAATCTGAAATTGACTTCGCTAAGAACTGAGAACCGCTAAGCGCACTCGGGTTGTTACCTCCGGGAAAAAGGAGATAACATTAAGCAGTTCAGAACAAATGTAAAGAGAGAAATAACTATTGGTTTGGCTTAGCATAACGAACGTTAAGATGATCTTGGAATGGACAGACCTTATAAATAGAGTACAACGAAGCGAAAATTCGCTAACCAGAGAGTTGGCACACATGGTCATGCGAACTTGTTAATATAGCTGTACCCCAATTTCTTCATGCATTGGTTCCATTCCGCATCCCGGTTGCATCAGGGTTTCAACACAACACAATGAGGTACTCATCCGTGTCTTGACTTGTCTTCCGGCTGTCAGGCTTAAAGAGCGGTTTCCTTCCTGTTGTGCAATTGTAATTAGTCGTTTACAGTGATATACCAGGACTCTGAACAATTCAGGTTTGCTCAATTTTACTTAACTGTGTACATTTAAATGGTACCTTAATGACTGCGATCCAACCTAGTTTTATTTTTGGGGTCATTGTATTCGTCTCATTCAACAACCAGTAATGCAGTATTGTCAATTTTTAACCTGCAAAGAAGAGTCAATTTAGTGATTTTACTAAGGGAGTATTAAGTAAGTCAAAAAATTAAGCAAATGGGTTCGTTAGCGTTTATATGTCACTAGCTAAAGGTAGCCATTTCTGAGCACGGGATTTTTGTTTTATAGGTTATCTCAATCTCTGAAGTGTCATTGTGCTATAATTTACCTTAAGATACTTCCGTAGACACAACAGTTTCACCTTAATGATCATTAATTGCACAAAAAGAAAAACTTTTCTACACTTTCACAGCTCTTACAATAGTGCTTAACTAAAGTGATAATAATAAAAAAGGGATTCGTTAGCGCTTTATTTATATCATTTTTCTTTCTGCCCTAGAATACAAAATTCGAATAAAAAAAGAAAATGTATTGACGAAGTGCTTCACTACCAAGAAACGTGGAAACTGGAGTATTTCTCACTGAACGACTGAACAAGTGTGTGTGCTTGATTTATTTGGCGTGTGTCAGTTTCCGAAGAATTCAACGTTAAGAGACACTAGCAAACGAAGCATACTAACTACGACAAGTTGACTACAAATGAACGAGCTGAGAGAATGGAGCAACTGGAAGCTGGAATATCCTCACAGCAAGGCTTGTTTGCAAGAATCGGTCAGTGGAATGGAAATGCCACAAAGCAAGTTATTAGGTGGCAAGACTAATGGTGAAACACTGCAAGGCATTTACTGAAGGCGAAATTGTCAATGTGTGATGAAAATGGTGGAAAATAGCTGTCCTGATACAAAGCAAAAGTTTTCCAATGTTTGTCTGGCACACAAGAGTGGGCTTCACAGAATTGAGACATTTCCTCCGATATTAAAAGATAATTAAAAGCAAAAGGAGCAGAATTTGACATCTTTTCGATAGCCTGCGTTGAAAGCACTGATGCGTCTACACTACCCAGCTTCACAAATTTCTTAGAGGAGTTAACGATAGCGTGTGCGTGAGCGAGGAATTACTTGACCTTCAGAGTCTTAAGGACCAAACAAGAGGAATAGATTTATTTGATTCTGTTTCTTCTGCAATCAATGAGCTTGAACTATCATGGAAAGCATCTCTGGAATTATTACTGAAGGTGCTCCAGCCATGATTGGCGAGCACCGTAGAGTAGCAACAGTTGACTGTAAGGAATTCAGGGAAGAGGTGGGCAAAGCTATAAAACGGCACTGCACCATACACCTATTTATGACAAACATCTTAGGTGTGATCGTGTTATGAAGCCAGTGTTAAAAGCTATCAACTATCTTCGCTTCAAAGTCCTGTTTCATCGTCATTTTCACCAGCTTCTACTATACATCCAGAGTGAATACGAAGATGTTGTATATCACAATGATGTAAGATGGCTCAGTCATGGGACTGCGCTTCATCGCTTCTACTCTCGTTGCTTAGTAATTAGACAAAGTATGACAAATAAGGGATGATCATTTCCAGAGCTATCTGATCCAATTTCGCTGGCTGACTTTTTATTTTTGGTTGATATTACACGGCACCTGAACATGTAGAACATGAGCATTCAGGGTCGGAACGCAGGGTAAGCCAATTTGTGTACACATCAAAGCATTTAAGAATTAACTGCAACTTTTCCAAAGACATCAGTCTCAAACGCAGCCTAATACCACACATATTCCATCATGGCAGGCCTTCCAGAAGCCAACATCAGTACCAAAATGCAGAAGTATGTCGCGGATAGTATATACCTGGCTGATAAGTGCTTTCAGGACTTTGCAAGCACTGAAAAGCAGATCGGGCTTTTTTCTTCATTTTTCAATGTGGACCCTGACAATGCTCCAGGCCACCTGCTGCCGGAGCTCATTGAGTTCTATAGTGATGTTGAATGTTGCAGTCGGCACCAGCAGCTTTCTCTCCTAGATTTTTACAACCAGCTAGATAAAGGCAGATTCCAAGAGATTCGGACATTTGCTAAGAAAATTTTCAGCTTGTTTGGCTCGACATACTTGTGTGAGCATGCATTATCAGTGTTTAATTTTAACAACAATCATATGAGGATCAGGCTGTGATTTTTAACTACGTGATATCTAGCGTACCAAAACCAAGTGTCATTTAGCCTGACCTGACCATTATACTGCAGTCAAGAACTTAGTTTCACACTTCACATTAAACACCTGCAATAAAATCCACAATATATGCCATTTTTTGTTATTAGCTTAATGTTAGACTGAATATGGTCCGCCATATTTTTGCCTCATAAAATGTGGTCCGGCTTGCGAAAGTCTGGACGCCCCTATTTAAGTGGTACTTTAGGTAAACGAAGTATTCTCTAAAGTTGGGGGACTCTGGTTCTACGTTGCTCTTTTCAGGACATACGCCGTACCCTGTTATCTGTTATCCCTGTGTGTGTGTTACGCTATTGGACCTTCTGTTCTGCAATGATCTTCCTTGACCTCTTGATTAGGGATCACAGGGTGGTGGGTACTTCTCTCATATTAGCTAGGTCCGGATTTGTAAGCGCTGCTGTTTTAAATCCATCCTCTTGTAATATTCTGTTTCACTACTTATCCATGTCCATAGCGTGCGTGTGTGTTGCAGCTGAATATTCACGCTTCGTGGGTGCACTGAGCACATACTTAAGTTGACTTGCTGGTTCTATAACAATAATTTAACAAAAAATCACTTAGACTTCCGATAAATGTATTTTTACCAAAAAGCTCAGCATACAGTAAAGCCTTTTTGTACTGTAAGTATGAAAGAGTGACCTGTGTAGATACTTCTACGTACCAGCTTCTTTAGTTTGTGAGAAGGTTGTAATCAAACAATTAAAATTATCTCTTCTCATTTATTCCTCAATTTCAGCACAGGTCACTGAGCCAAAACAGATCACTAAATTGCACTGAACTAGTTTCCACAGCATATGTCAGTATGGGAACGCAAATTTGCACTGAAGAAAAGGGAAGAAGATGCAGACACAACAAAATTTTCTAGAAACAATAATGCACATGGAACTTCTGACTTGCGCGAGAATCCACTTTGTATGAACAGTGGCTTACCCAAGTCGATGCACAACTTCGTGATATCCACTGCTTTCCTCAGTATCGCCCAGTGCAAAGGAGGTTCTTGTTTAGTGTTCATCGCGTTTAACATGTAATGCACAATGCCCTCTCCATGGTTTTCGATGATATGATTATAAATGTCCTGGAGGATGTTCACATCTCCGTGCCGACAGGCGTGATGGAACTTAATGAATCAAGAGTAGGCGGTAAAAAGAGATTAGTCAAATGGACCTTATCACCAAACTACTGTATTCCCATTTATTAATAAGATATCACATACTTCTCAGATAAGCCACGAACAGATTTTCAATCGTTACGAATTTTCTTGAAGGAAATAGTAGCTGCATATTTTCTTCGCCCAAAAACGTCAGCAGTTAAGTTGTGTGATACCCGATAACCATTTCTCTGTAACGTAGACTTAGCAAACAGGCACATGAAACTGATTACCGACCATCAGCTATAAAGTTACTACGGCCAAACTGCGAAATGATGGTTCCCAAACACCACCACACTCAAATGTTACCCGAATGTGTTATGTGTAGTTAACAATTATACGATTTGGCTTTATCTATCATTTGATAATTGACGATACACCTGAATAGAAAAATTGTATACAAAGTAATTCCGAGGAAGCACTTCGATTTGTACGTTTTCAGTCAAATGGTGGACTTGATACACAATCCCGAATAAACGACGAACATTCCGTCCTACGCCAACTAAGCTACCTTGCTGTGAATACCTAGTTTACACTCAGTTCAACGTTTGGTTATATATGTCCAATCTGACTAAACCACTATTAATCGCATACGTGATATTACACTCCTTATTCATGTACAGCCAAGATCGAAACAACCACAATTTCGCAGGCATTTACTGAGTGGGTCACGGATTGTCTATAACACTGGTTAATAAAAGAAAACATTTTTCCTGACGCGTAGGATATCTCCAGGAATCTATGGTGGTAGGGTCACGATAATTGCCAACGTGAAGGCAGCTGTCTCAAACTGGCTCTAGATTTTAAGGTATATTAACTAACAAATTGATAATTTAATCATAATAGTACCTAGTAACTGCTTGAAGCTGCCCTTGTTTATTTTAGCTATATAATTTCCTTTCGACGTATTGAAGAGTATCACTTCGTTGTGAGTCGGGCATATTGCGCTTATTGTTGTTGAGATCAGGAAAGGTCCGGGGCTCCTCATGAGTTTTTCAAAATTTGTGTATAATGCCTCGGCAAATGGGCAAGTGGTGCAAAGAAGGGATTGAATTCTAGTGTGCCTATGGTGTGGAACAAACCAACAAGCCATTATAATAATTTTGTGCTCCTAATGTGAATTGCCTCAATCGATATGATCGATATTATATTATTTACGAGATTTAAAAGACGGTGCACTTCTTTGGACGGCAAAGTGGATGCGCAAATATCCTTGCCTCATGTGCCTATAAGACAGTATGGCTAAACAACATCGTTGGAAGGTGACTGGGCCTACCAGGAAAACATGCATTTAGGCGCAGGGAAGATATACAATAAGTTTCTGGTTGACACAGAAAACATTATTCTCCTACCGTTCCATGTAACATTGGCCTACTGGAACAATTTGCTAAACAACTTGACAAAGATGGTTGTCGTTTCAAGTACATTTGTAGCTGATTCCATAAAACGTGTGTAGAGAAATTGAAACCAGCATCCCTGATGGCGCTCAAATTAAGCGACTCATTAGTAATAAAATGTTACAAGAAGGTATGAACAGTGTGGAAACAGGGGTTTGGGATGGTTTTTTATCTGTTTTCCGGAACAAAAGCATAAAGTTATATTTTCTCTACTTTCACTTAGACACAGACCCAGATAACCATGGTGACTCAAGAGAAGAAAATGACTAGAGATTTAATCGGTAAATTAAGGTGATGCAATAGAGAGATCAAGGAGGGTGAATTTCCAGCTGACTCATATGGCAATAACTCGTGCAAACAACTTTTTAAATAATAAACTCTCATGAAATACCTCCGGTGATTAGGTTATTTCATCAGTCGTCGTGTATACAAACTCATTAATTATTTACTATGTCTACATTTTTAGTACCGGGAACAATATCTGTTTGATTCTTGGACTGAACTCTACCTTGTTTTTGTTATCGTATTAGGCATTTTAGTAGGGCCAATCTAGCAAAACCGAGGCAATGTTCGAAACCAATGCCAGGAAATTATCATAAAAGCACCATAATCTCCCTGGCATCAGAGTCATTGTTGACCAGTGTAATAATGCGGATACATGCGGACAAACTTTTCCATCTGGTTGTGTGTGTCGTAGTCAGGTCAGATTGCAACGAATACTACAAACGAAATTCTAGACTTATCTTCCGTATGACGTGACAATAAACAAGGATGGACTTGTTAGTATTTTCAATCAGTGGATACACCCCGACTCCTTTCTTAGTAGAACAAAAGTAGTTTGAAATCAACCGCTCCAGTGCAGCAGGAAGCGTCCTATCGTCACGAGCTACCCAATGTTTGCCTAGTGGACCATTCTGAGGCTTTACCAGTGATTCAATGCTGGTGCGTCCGTGAAGAAACAACCTAGCCAATAGTTCTGACAAACATTGTCTTTCGTTAAATGATAATGAAATTAGTCCTCAGACAGCACTTGCGTAAGAAGGTTTAACGTTGTACGCTAAATACGGACATCACACTGCCTGTCATGAATTCTGCCTGATCGCATAGACCGCCGACTAACAAGCACACCTTCTGGGTAACATCTATACCCGACCAAAGACCTTACCATAATCAGTCGTCACGTTTTGTGACGGCGCAATTCTGAAATTATTTTATTTGGTTGCTCACCATTGGGTTATGGTTACACTGCAGATTTAAAGTGACTGAAAAATGCAACATCCGTTGCAGCGAGCTCCTGTAATCAACCAAGGCTCTCTATGTGCAGCCGTACCCAGGTTTACAGCTGACTTCCACGGACTTCCACAAGGTATTGCGCTCTATTCAATGTGTCCAAAATGATTGAATCAAATAACAAACCAGCTGCTAAAATGTATTCTCTTCTTTCGAATGCAAATAACAGCAAAAGTAGTAGTTCCTCAGTGCTAAGTGGATTTTTCATTACTTTAAATTGTTTTGCCTAAATTGCTGGCGTCTCAAACCAAACTGAGGCCAATACACTCATACGACTTCTATGGAGTACTGCAGTAGAAATCAATTCCTTGAATCTACTTCGGTTCCAAATCTTTTACAGATGAAAAATCCCTGACAGATAGCGTAGGCCTTACAGGTTCCATACATATACACATGAAGCGAACGAAATGCCCAAGTTTGAGGCGAACTGACCTTTCACCCGGCTGTTTCTGAATGAGATTAAGCAGCGCAGGGCAACCTAGAGCATGTAGTAAAAATGCGAATTTCAACTTACACGCTGGTAAGCACAAAAGCAGTGCAGACGAGTTGGCTTAGGTATCTTCCTGCTAGTCGCATCTGTGCTAAACTGACCTTAGATATGATATCCCATTACACCCGTTTCACGATATAATGCAAAGTTTATGAGGCATCACGGCTTCAGGTAGTTGCAGGTGTAGGTTGTTTTGGTGGGCGGTTATGGTAATCAGAATAAACTGATCTGCCCGTTTGTTTTGATACAAAATGGCACTTATCTTAATGGTCATGCTGCAGTTGGAATCCGGATAGTAACGTTGGATACAACATGAATTTGTAATTAACTAAGGTATAACGTAAGAATTTTGTTGCGAATCTAAAAATGAGAGATGGATCGAATAACGATGTCTTATACCGTAGATACTACTAAGTGGACGTCTTGAGAAACATCAACAGACATTATGGTCGCAGTATATTCATAAAACTTTGAAACACGACGCACAAAAGGTGATCACAATTGATTCTTTCATCTGACTAAATACTGTTGTTTTGCTAGGCTATCGTAAACCGTTTTATTAGCGTAAAGGTTGAGAAAATTTGTTCACTTAATGGAAAAGCTATATATGACGAAATTCATTCATTGTTGCGGCAATTAAGAAAGATTACAGCGAAGGAATTCAGTACTTCTGCTAAGCAGATTACTCCCACCATTCTTAGAAGTTCTCACCAAGAGTTACTTTAGGTTCTCTGATGATCTTTCAGAGATATCGGACAATGATAATGGAAACACAATTCCATACTGGACATCTCGCAGCATGAAAGGGATCACAATTCATATTCAAATGCAAAATTTTCAGAACCGAGCACTGGAAAGCCTTGCGAGAACTACGCCAAAATTGAAACCTAGTAATACTAAAGCCCGACAAGGGATCTGGGGTAGTTGTTCTTGGAAATCCAGACTCTGTTCGCGAAATGCAAGCAATTCTCGCAGATATTAGTCACTTTACAAGTGAGTTAGCAGGCAGCGATAAAACGAAAAATGTTGTAAAGTCCATTACTCGCAAACGTAAAAGTCTACTGCAGGTTGAACTGATTGATGCGATAACCATGGCACAGCTCCGCCCACGCAGAATTCGACTTCCTCATATGTACGGTTTACTCAAGAACCACAAGGAAGGAGCGCACTGCGCCCAATAATCACAGTCTTGAGTGCACCGTATCAAAAGTTGGCACGATGGGTAGCCCAACTTATCGAACTTATCCGACGCGAGCCACTCGGATATACCCTCAAGGATACGATCGAATTTGTTGGCAAGATAACTTATTTAAACGTAGACGGAAAGCACATGGTTTCATTCGATGCTTGCTCATTGTTCACCAATGTTCCTTTAGAATAGAATCTTGCCATCATTGGTACTCATGCAGACAAGTTGGGGTTTCCGGCAAATCATCTCAAGTCGCTAATCCGCCTGCGCAAGAAAGATATACAGTTCTAATTCAATGGAATAATGTACCGACAAATAGACGGCGTGGTCATGGGAAGCCCACTTGGGCCAGTCCTAACTGATATTTTCGTGGGGCACATGGAGAACACCAAACTTCGTACTTTTATACAATGTGTGCATCTTTACAGCACATACCTGGATTTGTTGTAGTAGACAGCGCCCATAAAGCAGCAGATTTACTTGATGCTCTGAACCAATACGATGCTTCGATCAAATTTACGATGGAAAACGAAACCGATAACACTTTCCGTTTTTGGGTGTGCATCTGAAAAGAAATCCGAATGGCATACTCACTCGATCCATG